CCTTTTGGTTAAATTTATTATATGGATGGGGGTTAGGGTTGTATTTGCATGATAATGAAATGTTCCATCTCTTAGTCTTGTAACTGTTAAAATTGTCATTGTTGCATTGGTCATTGGGAAAATCACTTTCTTTTGTTTATTATGCTCCCTTTCAATGTTTTACTTCATTTTCTAACTTACAACTGTCAATTACTCATAGAGGATTCTTTGAATTACTGATTTGTTAATGCGCAGCTCACCTATATCGTCACTGACTTTGAAAAGTCCTTTAGCACTTAGCAAAAATTTGAGGACTGAAGTAGTTTATCCCTAATGTAAATTGCATTTTGTTCATCACTAAAGGTGATGAACAAAAGCCATTCACTTCCAACAAACTGATTTTTTGTAATTAAAATTTTGATTGAACAAAGCAAAGCAGGATCAAGAATTAAGATGTGAATAGGGCATGAATTACAGCTTGCAGTTGTATTAGCAAAACCTCCTATGCAAGGTATCTTCATTTGCAGATTCAGCTGTTACAGCTGGATGTTCATTTAACCAGATATCATCATTGAGGATTTGTGCAACCCCACACCCCCAAAATTTTTTGTTTTAGGATCAGTTCAACAAACACCATTGCTCCATTTCACATCCAATAACTGTTAAATTCCAAATAACCACTTTCCAATGAAGCCATATCTTTATAAATAGTAGAACATGTTTACTGTATCTCTCACTGGAGCTGAGGAGAATGTACTGAAGAAAAGTAAGCCTAAAAGGACAGAATAATTTGATATTGAAGAACATTCTGCATATGGCAGCATGAGAATTTTCCTATAGACCCAGTAAGTTCTTGTCTTCCTATAGTTGTGTAAGCAGCTACTAAATCCTTTCCAGAGCACTGCAAATCAGTACTCACAGTTGTGGAATTTCGCCGGTTGGAATAAAACAGGATTGCACTGCAGTCTTCCATCTTCTGAGAATGAAGAGATGCAATATTTCTACATGGTGTTGGTCAGGCCTGTTACTTTGATAATGAAACCAGAATAGCGTTGTTTCCATTTTTTATCACAAACAGCTAGGCTGTTCTCATTGTGGCTTGTTGTTCGGAGGGATTGGTAGCTTCCCTTTTTCCTGTGATGACACTGAGAGATTCCAGATCAACTTTTTCTGAATCCTTTTTCTGAGAAAGAAAATGAAGGGGAAGCAGCAGCTCCTGTTTCTCCCGGTAGCCGATGTTCTTGCCTCACTGCTGACAGCTTTGTTATGCCACATGTTTGCACGGCTATGCAGCACAAATTTGTTTTCCTATACATGTGAAGGAAGCTAGAATGGTGATTTATGTTGTGTGGAGGAACATACTCTTACAAACACAGCATGGGAGAAAACATAGAAGTGCTTTAAGCAAAATTTGGTTCAACAATGGTACAGATGTCTTTGGAAGAAGAAAATGGGTGGAGATGAGATTCTTTTTCCCAGTACACTGAAGTATGGTTTTTGCAGAAACATGCATGCCAGCCCAGAGGTATATGGCCCAGACAACACTGATGCATAATCATTAAGAAAAAAAACAGTATTCCCAGTAAAACTTTGCCCCAGTCCTTCCCAATACATCTTAGCAGATTCGTTGTTCTGTACAGAGTAATGGTAATTAAGATATGCTGTGATCACGTTTTCATTTTGCTGCTTCTGGACAAGAGAAGGTTAAGATGGTTCTGGATGAGATAAATGGGGAAGAGCCAGGTGGAAGTCCAATGAGCTAACAGGAGTTCAGCATTTTCTATGAATTTGGAGGAGAGAAGGGATCAAAACTGAATTAAATGAGGACAGAAGTGAAAAGTGATAGTGAGAAAGGTAAAATGACCATCAGAGTAAAGAGAGATGATACTGATGAAAAGGAAGAGAAGTGGAGACCTGAGTCAAAAACTTCACATCAAATGCTAAGTCATGTGTAAGGAAATATGAGACTCCAAGATCAGATAGAAACTTTAATATTTAAAACAATTTTGAATGGTTCAGTTTTTCATCTTTTTATCATTTAGGTCTTCATCTCTCCTCCCTTAACTCAAGTGCCTCTCCGTGGTAGCCAGGAGACTCCACATAAAGAAAGTAGAAGACAAGAAAATTATTAAGTATTATTAAGTATTATAGTTCCCTTTTGGATTTGAACATGGACAGTATATTTACTGGATGGCAATACAATTTATCTGTGTTGTCTGCAAATTTGTGATTGGTTGTGAATTACAACACTTCGTTTGCATTCCTTGCTCTGTTATTTCCCTTTGTTTCTGGCTTAGTTGGGTGCCAGTAATCTCTTATGAGGAGAAAACCTTTTCCAAAAGGAAATCATACCTACTTACTTCAAGAGAATATCTCCAGAAAAAGAAAATGGATAAAAGCAGAAGAGTAAGCTACTTAAACTTCTCAGATTCATTTTTTTTTTTCCCCAGCTGTTGTTACAATTAGGAAAGCAATGAACATGTTTACATTGGGATGGTTTATGAAAAGGAATTATCGAGATTTTTTAATATTGATGCAGAAAAAACATTTGAAGACTAAAAAAATGTATTTCCTGCATTGGAGAAAAATGAGTAGGAGTAGTTCACACATTACCTAAAAAATAAAAGTAAATACATAACACTACAGGCTTGGAAAGTCAGAACAGAAAAAGATAAAAGTAATGTGGCAATGTACCATGATTACAAAAACTCATCTTTAAAACAAATATGTAAGAAACGAGCATACTGTGAGCATGGCTATACATCACACACATTGCATCCACCAGTCAAATCAAAATGCTCTAGTGACTTTTGGTCTTGGTTTTAGCATTAGGCAAACATGAGGTCAAACGCATGAAGCTATAATTCCCAACTCATCTAATCCTCAGTTTTTTATTAAGTTTACTAGTTAACTGAGTTGTCAGACAAAGCACATTAGTTATGTTAATTCAATAAAATAAATCTTTCCATAGAATGAAGAAGGTATGGAGCTGGTAAAACTTTTCTTGTAATCTGTGTTCAAATACCAGTTGTGAGATTCATTTTATTTGAAATTGAAAATCTTGAACTGCTTTCTGCTTTTGAAAGAACTGGCTTCATGATAGTAAAAAATGCTTATAGGAAAGACAAACTGTATATTTTCAGCAACAATCCCCTTTGTTTTAATGTGATGAGTTTCATATATCAGATTAAGATATCTTACTGTTATGTAACGCCAAACAAAATCTATCATTATTGTTCGTAATATAGTGGATATTATTTACACAGACTATACACAGAATAAAATCTCTCAAAACTACTCTTCCTATTTAAATATTTAAACTGGGTTTGAAATTGTTTATTTCTTTAGCCAATAATTTTATAATTTGACTGTTTCCTCTGTGTAATTTGACTGTTTTGCTTGAACTGCTGCATTATCACAGATTTTAGCATTTTGCATTCATATTCCTTGATGCAACTAATTTTTCCTTAAGAAAGTAGAGATGTGCTTGCTACATAAACATTAATGCCCATGTCTTCTCCAGTTATGTTCTCTCAGTCAGCAATTCACTAAAAAATCATAAATTGGATTTTCCTGTGTTCATAGTGGAGAGTAGACCAGCTTTGTGCTTCAGTGGGATTTAGACACTTAAATGTATAGCAGCTTTGAAACCCAAGGCTTCAGTATTTTTCTAGGTGGCAGATATAATTCAAAGCTAAATTCACATATTTAGATTTCTCCTTATATATTTATTTATACATTGTCAGATTAGCAAATATTTATAAATATACAAAAATGTGTGTGCATGTATATACATTTTTTCAGCAAGTCTTTCCTACTTCTATGAATGCATAGTTGCATCCATTTTAAGCACAGAACTGACAAAAACATTATCATGAAATAGAGTTTGGAAGATTAGGAAAAAAGAAATAAAAAACCAAAGTGTATGAAGTTCGAAATGGATACTCAGAACGTACAATTAACACATGCTCAGGATCTATGTCACTTACAAATGGCTCAGTGACTATCAGTGAGTGGAGAGGGAGTATTTTTCATAAATCAGGCTAAAATTAGATTCTGTATAATATGCTGAATATACATGAAAATATAGGAAATCTTCTTCATCACATGTAATTCCTAAAATGTATCTGTAGAAAATAATCTGTTTCGAAGAAAACAAATTTTCTATGTTGGCTGCTATGTAAAGTATGTAGCATATATATAAATAGATGATAAAATACTTCTTTTTTTTTCCTTCTTTCTTTTTTTTTTTTTTCAGCCTCAGGTATTCTTTTTCCCCATCCTTTTATACTTTGGGAAGACCCAAGGAATTCTTCCCAGTTAAAAATAAAATAAAACCCAATAGAAATATTTATCAGAAATACATAACAGTAGTATTAAACCTAGCAAACCACTATGAATGACAAAATGTTTAAGAAAGAAATGAGATTTCTTTTTAGACAGAATTTAGAAGGTAACTAATTGATACTATGATTTTATGCAAGATTATTGAGTTCTTAAACCGATAATTTTTTTTTCAAGTGTACCTAATTTTGAATTTTCAACCTACGATATTTCATTAATCAATTAGCATCAAAAGTTTGCTTCCAATGTTGGTTATTACTGTTTATGGCTTGAATTACAGATAGCACTTTGTCTTGTATGAGAATGTAGCGTGTGTATGCATCTCTAAAATTGAAGTGCAGCCATAATATTTGCATAACTGGTAAAAATCACCTGCTAAAAAAATCACTGAAGCAAACTCCCCATTAACAGCCGGAAAAATAAATTAGTTAAGAGTGCAGAACTGTGACAACAAAATGTTGTCACAAACCTATTCATTGTTGTGTATTCTGAATGCTCAAATCTGAAGAGGCTGATGCAAAATAAATAAGGGATGAGAGGCAGCTGATTCTGATGTATTGGGGTTTCATGTTCTTAAGAGCTAGCTTTGAGTTTAAACAGTTTAAACTCATGAATGCTAAAAGATTTGTAAATTTAGTAAAAAAAAAAAAAAAAAATTGCCATTAAACTCAAGGTAGGAAATTATTATACATTTTTTTATGTATCTTTATATAAAAAGTTACAAGTAGCAAGCATATGACACAGAAATGGAACAGTAACAGCAACAGTTGTGAATGCATGCTTTTTACAATGTGTCTAATCAAGAGATTTTTGCCAACTCAAATATTCAGTAACATACATGCAGATTATTTTCTCAATGTCAAATTCAGCCATATTGCTAGATGCTTATCCAACAAACATTTCTATTGAAGATGAGCTGCTAAATACCTGATTTTAATAAATTGTTCCTGAAATTGGGAATTTTACTTGCAATGAAAAGAAGAGAGAAATAGAAAAAGAGAAAGGACTGATAAGCATAATGATGAAAGTCTTATTGCCATCTAGTGATTTTACTCAACACTGTTTGCTGAATTTTGTCATGATATGAGAATAGCTGGTCAGAGAGTCCATAAAACCTCTAGCTGGTGTTTCCAAGGTCCATAGTTTCACATTTCATTGTAGCATGTTCAAAATCACCCAGGTGCGCACTATTCTCAAGAACTCTATATAATGAAAACAATGTACATACAACAAAAGTTCAGTGTAACTCTTCTTCCACATATCACACAACATACATGTAGATAACAGACAAAAAGAAATATATCAAACAAAATAAATCTAAGAAAAAAAATAAAATAGGGACAGTCTCAGCCAGGAGCTAACTTCTTCTTCAAGTTTGCAGCAAATCTTAAAATGTATTTAAAAACTAAGGAGCACTTGGTGGCCAGCAACCAAACTAGAAAAGAAACATATTATTGTGCAATGGGGATCTTTGCTAAAGAAGTAAGAAATATCTTAGGTTTGGATAAAGGCAGTGAAATGAAATTAGAAACATGTCCACTCTCTCTTTCTGACAGGTGAAGTAATTCACTATAGATTTTTCCATTCAGTTCACATGACTATATAAATATTTCTTCTCTGAAAGCAAAAAAAGGTTAAAATATGTTTTCTCTAGGTTTACTTAAACTATTAGAATAAAAAAAAAATAAAAAGTATTAGTGGAATCTCTCAGTGAAATTGTTGTATAGATGCACGTACATGTAAACATGTACATGCGCATATATGTCTATACATATAGACATACATAAATTGGCAGACTAACAACTATAACTTTAATATACAAAAATGAGGTGGTGTTTATTAAGAGTTGATAAGAAATTACATAAAATTAAATGCCTAGGAAAAGGCTTAGAATTAAAATTTAATTTCCAACGTTAACATTAATTCTAAAGAATTTCTAAATTTATCTACACTCCCATATTTTTTTCCCCTGACACTTAACAAGATTAAAGAGTAAAATAAACTGAAAACAAGTATTTCCTATCTTCATGGCATGGGTTAGACTGATAAATTTCACATAGTTTCACACAGCAAGACTCTAAATTTTATTTTCATAAACAAAAAATTAATAAAACACTGGAGCCATGCTAAGCATCTCTTTTCATGATGTGTTTAGAATGCAGGTTATATTTAGATGAAAGATTATACATAGCTGATTCTACAATCAATCATAAGAATTTAATAGTTATTGTTTTAGTTCACAGTGCTAAACTAATCATTTATCTGATGTTTAGTTTTCTCTGTATTCAAACGTACATCTCTTTCTATGCAAAGATTTCTATGAGGTGGTGTATAAAGTGGAAACAGACATTTCAACAATATAACAAATAAAATGAAATGCAACAGATGGTTCATTTGTTGTACAGGTATGTTTACTTACCTCAGGTTTGTCTCTTAGACCCTAGTTGTGTTGTACTCAGACTCATGTTTGCTTAGAGACCCAATGAGGCAGAACCTGGAATGTTATGGCTATTTCATTCAAAATAATAATGTTTGCATAGAAAAAAAGAAATATATGCATATAGATACTTAATAGAGAGTACATATTGATTAGCTGTTCAATATTCATGAAGTAATTTACATTGGCATGCAATTAGATTAAGATAAATAACTTCTTTTTAAGAGAAAGAAATGCCTTAATGTGCAAAGAAAATACAGAGAGCATGTAAACAGTCACAAGAAGAGCATAAATAATGCATGCAAGAGAAAACACAAATATTTATAAAAAGTTTCTGTTTGCTTTTCCGAATAAATGGTTCATATCTCTTTTTCCTTTTTTCTCTACTTGTAAACTTCTAATAGTTTATATTTACACTCATTTAGAGTGCAGTATACAATAACCTAACTTTTCTATTAAAAATATCGTGCTTGATATTTTCACTGAATAAAAAGATTTTTTTTAACTACATTCTTATATGTAAATATATGAGCATTCTCTATTTGCTACACTGTCTCATAATTAATATATGTTTATATAAAAAAAATACACTGTGATAGTGGAACACATACATTAATGTTATGCAAATATTGTCACTCACTTCATAAAAGATACTATTTCATGGGTTTCCTTACTGCCTGTCTCCTTGTTCTGTCATGTGTCATAACGAATAAATGTATTTTTGTTGTTGTTGCATTGATTTAGAAATGTTAGACCAATAGTGGACAAAATTCAAGGCCACCTCAGTTTCAAGGAAACCATATGCATGTGGCTATTTCAAAAGCTAAAATTAGACAAAATCTTTGGTTTTTTTAAAAAAATGTACCTGTTCTCTGTTGGCTTGTGTGTGCACGCATGTGGGCATGTAAATAAAACAGTGAAAGAAAGATATTGGACTGAAAGCTGAAACTGAGATGCAGAAGCCTCCATGAAACTGGAGCAGAGGTGAGAGACAGCGAGTGATAACAAATGGCATGTGCTGTCAAGAAACAGAAATTTAAGCAATAAACAGAGAAATAAAAGAATATGCCTTTACTTGGGAAAAAAAAAAAAAAAAAAAAAAAAAAGTGAATATGTTTGGGCAATCAAGTCCTTACACAACAGTCTTCATCAAAAATCTATTGATACTGACCGCTGAACAGCTTTATCATGTCTTGACAGCCTGTGGCTTGTGGTTGGTACCTCTTCAATTTCATCTATCTCACACGCATCTGCAGCATCTTGTGAGTAGCTATGCTTCATGACAAGGATATTTCTCCTGTTCACGGGTTGAATGAGGGGTTTTACAGGCTGGGGTTGTATTTCTGTCAAGACAGAAGCATCTCTTGTGCTGAGGTTACTACGGCTGCCCTTAGTGCTAGACAGTTGTGATCCACAGTGATGGTCATGAATGCATTTTGAAGATGATCTCCGCAGTTTATGATAATTTTCAAAGTCATCTGCAACATCAGCAAGGTCAGCTGTAGTCCCTGTCCCTCTGAGGGTGCATAACTCATAATGAGGAGGCTCAAACACCTCCTGGAACACTGTTTGATCAAAGTCTGTTTTCCTTTGGACAAATTTTTTACGAGGCTGCTTGATCTGTACTATCACAGAGATAACAATGAGGATGATGACAATGCAAGAGGTCACCCCAATTATAGTCCCACTGGTATTGGTGAGTTGGTCCAATAGGTTAGCTTTTCTTTTTTCTGTGTGCAATGAAGAAAAGAAATAAAACACAGAATTAATTTCATATCAAGATTAAAAACAGCCACGATGTGTTCACAGATCACTGCAAAGCCACGCCTAGACTATGTCTAAGTTCACATAATTGGTCTTACTGGGGAAAAGTGAAAAGGAAGAAATCAGGTACTTGTGCAAACCAAATAAATAACACGTAGGTCCTCCAACTGGCCTCACACTTGGTTAGTGCTTTGTTCAGGGTATATTATAATCTTAGCTAGCTGAAATATTTATATGCTTGTTTAATACAAAAAGCAACCACAATAAGAAATAAATGGATTTAGTGCCATCTCTGAACTCTATTCACCTGCTAAAGCCCCCATGTCAGATGCAAAACTTCTGTTATTTACTCTTTTTTCCAGTAAATACATGCAGGTGGAACATTAAGATTAATGAAACAGCAAGTCTTTACAGGTTCTAGAAATAAATTCTTTGCATTGGGAACTTTTTTGAGTTTATTTATGGGCTAACTGGGGACTGTTGATAGTCAATGAAAAGCTAAGTCAGGAGAAAATAGAAGAGCTATTCAAACTGAGCTTCCAGAAAGGGAAAAAAAGAAAAAAGACAAAAAAGAGAGCAGGTTATTTATTTTGTTTGTGACCTATTACTTTCCAGAACATTACAAAAAATGTATAAATGTTCAAAGCTGATCAGAGCTATGATGCTTTACTCAAGGTCTGCCAAGAAGCTGGCCAGAAAATTTGGTGTTGAGAATGAAGAAAAATATGCAATAAAATAATACAGAGAAAAAAAAATCACTCTAGTGTTCTGTATGTTCTTCCGTTATTTAATTTCAAACAGCTGATGACACCTGAGACAGTGACAGAGCCAAGCTGAAAGCAGTCACATCAGCTTCTCACAGGCACATCAAAATTGACAACTGTGATTAAGTTTCAATACCCTAACTGGTGTTATTTTTCTATCAACTTAAAACATACCAGAGAACATAATAAAAAGCCTTTGAAATGAAAGTCACTGGCCCCCAAATGATAAAATCCAGCTCTTTATAATCTTCTTGATACACAAAATGAACTTTTCAGTACTCCCCATTGCCTACTCTTGTAGATCCATTTGGGGTTTCTCTAACTGACTGACAAAGTCTGTAGGGAAAGAACAGATTTAGAAAAAGCAATGGAGCAGCAAACAGTTGTTTTTGCAGGAACCATCAAACAGGATGGGATATAAGCACAGGGCCAACAAAAAAATATTTCGCATGTGAAAGATGAAAATCACTCTGGAAATTAGAGAGGGGAAGGTTTTCTATTTTCGTCTGTGCTGAAGAAGCACAGTTCTTCCCTGGTTGTTTATTTCTTTGAAGAATATTTTTTGATGTCACAATTTTGTCGTGTTCCTTTGAAACATGATTTCATTTATTTTTTATCCTGCTGCACTGCTTGTCAGGCTTTTACAGACTTCAGCAGACTCACAAGCTGATGGCTAATCCCAGTAATTCTGAATTTTTTCTTGATTGGTTCCTAAATTTGGCATTACTCATGTTTTAAGGAACAAATCTGCGGTAGCAGAGGAGGGAAAAAAAAAGAAGCAGCAGACCATATCCTGGATCTACAATGGAAGTTAGTTAAGCTCTTTCTTATGAAGACAACAGAGATGCTGGCTTCTATGGAGATATAGAGCAATATTTAGAAACTTTGTCAACGCCTGACTGGGAATACCAGTTCCTGCCTATGAAACAGACATGATGCCTGTGCTTATCCTTGCACTTCAATTTCACTAGGCAATTATAAATGGATCTGGATGCTTTTTAATGCTGCTAATTTCAGTTCAGCTATGTTGTTTGCTTTTAGCCCACCTGGGCTACTGTTGGCATGACAAGCAGCTAGCAGACACCTGCTTATGCATATGCTACTCCACTGCATAGGCAACTATACCAAAGGAACCAAAAGATTACTATTAATTAACTTTTATATTGTACAGAAACCAAACGGTCATAAAGCCTGCCAGAAGGATATAACAAACACAAACAAGCACCAAACAAAACAAATGCAAACACTGAAAGCAAAATCCACAAAGATTTTCAGCTCTGCATTTTAATCTGTTGTCTGATGCATGCTGCCCTTGAATTACATTTCATGAGCCTTGATCAACCTGATACATAACTTAACAAGAAACTAAGGAGAACATGCTGTATTCCATGTGTCTGATAAACTGACGGTTTCAATTCTACACATTACCTTTGCAGTGGTTTTCATCCCAAGGATACACACAGTTCTGGAGTCCATTGCAGACCAATGTATTATTAATACACATATTACTGTGGCAAAAGAAAGTGTTGGCTTCACAAGGGGCTAAAAACAAAAATAAAAAGCTGATATTAAATAGTAAAGATTCAGTTCTTTACAACAAGTATATCAAGGCTGTATCATAACCACCTGTACTAGGAGAAAGCTGTACAACACAGGTTCCTTAAGCATATTTAATATCTGACATATACTATCAGCAGCACTCAAGTCACACACCATTTATTACTCTGGAGCAACAGATTTTCACTTTTGACTAAGACAGATGGACTTCTTCACCACAGTTTGACTCTGTTGGCTGCAGCGGGTTGACACCTCATATATTGATGGGGGGTCACAGGTGTGTAATCAACATAGTTTTAGCCACATAGATCCAAAACACAGTACTTTATGAGCTAATAAGGAGAATGTTGACTATATCATAGCTAGATCCAGTACAAGCCAAAGAATTCGTTTCAAAGTTTGTTGTAGAAACTCCAATTTTAGAAGAAACCTTGCATGGCTGAATGAAGATACATACTTTAGTGCTTGTATCAATGATATCTGAACCCTTATATTCAGAGAAAATAAAACTATTAAAAAAGAAGCTAAAAAGAAAGATTGCAGTAGAAAAAAGTATCCTATTAGCCACATGTGAAGATTAAAAACAGCAACTGTCATCAGTGTCCTTAGAGCTCATAATTTAAGGGAATCATGCAGGATTAAAGCTTTACTGAAGAACAAACTTTTACAATGGTGGCAGCTTTGAGGTCATCAATAGGAATTGGACCTGATTCTCAGGTATTGGGGTTATAAAGACAGTATTGCAAAATCATTTGATATAGTAAAGATAATTCACTTCTCATATTTCTTTTAATTAAATTAAAAAAAAAAGCCAAATCTTCCTCATTATGGAAAAAAGCTACACAATTTATCAGTGTGAAATCAACAAAAATGAACTCTTTATGCAATTTTATATTAGTTCAACCCCAAACCATTATTATATTTCCTAAAGAAAAGTTTTTAAGAAATAACCTAAGAACCTGCTAATCAAAAAGCAGTTATGATGTTGACAGTAATAAAATTTGATGCTTCATGGAAATTTTTCTCTCCTGCACTTTTAAAAATACTTCATATAGTAAGATATATTTGCACCGTGGAGACTGGTTGAGAGCAGAAGACTACTTCAGTTATTTGCTAAGGACAATGCAAAGGCTTTGTGTCTCAGAAATTAATGACTTCATATATTATATCAGGAAATTCCCTTTTCAGTAACTGTATAAGTTCAGATATGCATAACTGACTATAATGGCTTCTCCAGATCAGTTACATTCTTTTGAATAAATAATAAAAGCCATCAAAACTTGAATATATCCCTAGATACGAGGTTTCTCTGAAGGTAATTCTCAGCTACACAACACTATTTTTTGACACAGTCACCACTATTAGCTGTGTGATTTCACCAACAAGAGGAACTTGTTGCTGAATGCTGAGCTTGTAAATATCTATACCAGCAGAGGTAATCCATTGTTTCACAGTTGCTGTGATGGCACCATTAGTGGGAAAATGTTGCCACACAGTTCATCTTTCGTGCGCCCAAACAGATGGAAGTCAGAAGGCGTGAAATCCAGAAATACAGTGGGTGTGGCAGGACAGTCCAGCCCAGATTGGCAGTGTGCTCCACAATTTTCAAACTGGTAGCTACCACATTGCAGGAGAAAGGCTGTCTTCTTCTCTGGCCTGATTCTGGAAATTTGAGCCATCAGCTTATAGTCATTGTCACAGTGCAGCAGTCAGAGTTGATGGCTTGTCCAGGTTTCAAGAAATCTAAAAGAAACACTCCTTTCCTATCCCAAAAGCCAGTGTACGTTGCTTTACCCTCTGAGGGCTTCATATGGAATTTTTTTAGTATGGGGAATTCACATGTCACTACTCCATGGACTGCTGTTTTGACTCTGGCTTATAGTGGTGACACCACATCTCATCAATGATAATGACGTGATCCATGAAACTGTGAACTTCAGCCTTGCATTTGTTCAATAGGCCCTGATAAACTTGCACAGTGTTCTTTCAGCTCCTGCATGAGAATTCATGGGACCCATCTGCTGCAAACTTTGCAGTATTCCAATGCTGCAACCATCGTTTCCAATACAATGAAGTTGATATTCAGCTCTACACACAGTTCCCTGGCTGAAATCCACTAATTCACACAAATTAGCTGATTGAGATGCCTGTCTTCTCATGGAGTAACAGCTGTGAATGACCGTCTAGCCTTGTCTATCATGTCACTGTCTCCACTGCCATACTGTAGTCATATCCACTATTTGGTCTCCATGAACATTCAGAAAGTGCCAGTGAATATCCATGGGTGCATTTTTTTTGTTTTTCACATGGGAGAATTCAGCAGCATATCTGTACTTCGTACACACATCCATGTCAGACACCACTTTGTCTGACTGCCCCTCTACTGCCATCTGTCACACTGCAACAAGTAATGGGATATCGGTGGGAAGATTCAACCTCTACTACCATATCACCATCATCTACCTATAATATAATGGGCTACTATAGTACAACAGGCATTGTTCTCAGAGCAGCCCTTGTACAGATCTATCCAATCACATACTATAGCATAAATACATTTATCTATGGCATATATAAAGGTTTGCATCTTCAAATAGCATATACTTTCTAAACTACACTTCTGTTGACTTCACAGAAGTCCAGTATTGTCAGAGGCTTAAAGAGTTATTGATCTATTATAGAAAGAACACATTTTTAAAACACAGATATTTACATAAAATAATGTAGATAAAAATTTCAGTTTGGGAGGCTTTATAAGCTGGCTTTATGTTTTTTTAAAATACGAAACATAGCAGCTCTTTCATTTCCACTGCTCGCATTGCTTTTAAAAAGTAGAAAATACTACTAAAATATATATAATACATCATAATATCTCTTAGTGGCAATGGTTACAATTCCATAGCAGAAGATCTATTTTAATGCTTACTGCTTTATATCTTCCTTCTGCCCAAATTACAGCTTGAGTTTCATGGCTGCACAGTACCTGGAACCAAGGCTTGGGGAAGCCACACCATGGAAAAGGTAGGGGAAGAGTTGAGTGCCTTTACAGAAGGCAAATTGGCCAAACTGATTCTGCCAATTAGCAGTGCTCAGTTTTGAAAACATCCATATACCATCTCTCCAGCCTGCAGAGAGCCTGATCAGGTATTAAGTTTGTTAAAGGAAGGCTTTTACTTTAAAGCAGGTAGAAAAGCAGAACAGCACACATGCATATTAGAAAATGAGAGTACTTTGGAACAGTCCTCATCTGGGGACAGTGTCACATCATGATGTAGTAGAGAACCTGCCAGAGGCACCATCATTCTTTCACAGTCTAGCTGCACTCCTTTTGTTCTGGTCAGTGTGGAGATAATTTGGCACTCTAACTGTGCGCTCTAAGCAAAAATTAAAGAGAAAGGGAGAGAACTTACAAAAGGGAAATTAAGAATACCCAACTGGCTACCAAATACAGAAATACTGCATTAAGCGTCTGTAGCCACATATTCACAGGCTTAGCGGGATTTTAACTGCCTGTGTAGGGCTGCACTGGAGGGCACAAAAGGAATAATTTTATGTTCTAGGGACCGGACAGCAGACTGGAAAGCAAGTTTGCAGAAAAGGTGCTGATGTACAGTAAGACGATAATGAACCAACACTTTGCCCTTGTGTCAAGGAAAGTCAATCAAGTATTAGGTTGCATTAGAAAGAACATTGCTAGCAGCTGAAGAGAAGTGACCCTCTGCCCAGCAGCTAAGATTCACATCTACAGTGCTGTGTTCAGTTCTGGGCTCCCTCGCTTAAGAAAGACACGAACATTATGGACTAAGTCCAACAGAAGGCCACAAAGATGATTAAAGGCTTGTGTAATCTGACATATGAGGGAAGTCTGAGAGAGCTGGAACTGAATCAGTCTGGAAAAGGGAAGGCTCAGAGGAAATACTGTCAGTCTGTACAAATAATTAATGGGGCAGAGTAAAAAAGACAGAGCTAGGACCTTCTTAGTGGTGCCTAGTAGACACAATGAGCTCTAAATGAAACACATTCCTCCTAAACACAAGAACAAAGTTTTTACTTTGTGAGTTGTCATACACTGGGCAAGATTTGTTTTTCCACAAGTTTCTGCAGTCTCCTTTGTAGGGGATATCAAAAATCCAACTAGACACTGCCCCACCACCCCCTGTTACCAGCTGTTGACCCTGTTTTGAGTAGGTCTAAGGCAGAGTTCAAACCCCAAAGTCTCTTCCAGCCTCAAAGAGGCTGAAAAGACATGGCTTGATAATAGGATTAAAAATTACAGCTTAGATCACAAAGTTGCATTTATTTTTACTGTATCCCAACGCAACCTTGAATCAAAATCAGCCAAGGTACTGGCCTAGAAATTAGTAACATATTCAGCACAATGAACAATTCATAATGTTAACAGCACAAGTAAAAAATTGTAATTATTCATATAATTCTAGTTGATCTACTTTAATAACTGAAAGTCTTTCCTAAAACATTGAATTTGTAAAGTACAAAAATAATGTAATTTAAAAATTCAATGAGAAAAATTACTCAAAGACCTTTTTCTGTTTTAGAGTTGAACCACGCATTATTTGTATGGAAATTATACATATATATATACATATATGTGTGTGTATATAAACCTTCAAACAGTTTCCCTTTAAGATATAGAACATTATTTAAGAATGTTTTACGTTATGTGTAGGTGTGCCTTGTATTTCAATACACAAACAAATTTTGTGGTCATGGAACAAAGCTTAATGTAGTGACTTCTCTTTTGCAACAAGTATTTACTCTGAACACAAGATGGAGCACTTATCCCTAGAAGACACATAAACAAGTGTTTTAAGAAGGTAGAGAAATGGTATACACAGAGAGACTTTTTTTAGGTTTATGAAACATATACTTTAAAAAACTGTAGAATAATAAACCTATTACTGTTACCTGACTAATAAATATAATTTATTCTTAGTGGAGACAAGTTAGAAGACTAGAAGTTTGTT